AGTGGCTACACTCTTTTCAACCAACGTTCACCTTTTGTTTCAAAAAACCAACTGTATCATCCAAGGCACATTAAACAGGTAGTATCAGTAGAGCAAAAACAACATTTGCGTGTATTTTGTTGTTGCTTCTGGTATCGAAAGTGTCAAAAACTGTTCTGAATTTTTTCTTCTAAATCAAAGCGTGCCATGTGAAATACAAAAATACAAATCAGCTGCTCTACTGATACTACCTGGTCAATGTACCTTGGTTTTTATATTTTGTTTACAACAGGTAGAAGTTTATCTAAAGAAATGTCAATGCGGAGGAGCAAACAACGCTGCCAACTAATCAGGGCTGCCAGACGTTCGTTTAGAGTCTAAAATCAGTACACGGACAAAAAGTGGTCGGTGAAAAATCCGTACAAAATCCGTTGTCTCAAATTTGTTTGGCGAGCAAAAAACAATCGGTTGTACTTAGGTGAACACAGGAATCGTACTTTTAATAACATCAAATAGCAACACATCTTCCCACTAGTCATATTTATTGATTGTTTCACAGACAACCTTATTATTTTTCTGGCTAGAACATTTTAACAAGCAGTGTGTTCTTAGTTTATGTACACGTAACAAAACTTTTAAGGTAGGTTGTCGACCCTACCGAGTAGCAGTATAATATTTGAAGCGATGATTAAAGTTGGAAAAAAATAAAGGAAATTGAAGTTTTTTTAATTTTACGCAACAAAACCTCCCAACAATCGAAGTCTACCAATATATTGTGAATGAATGAATAAATAAACACTTTTTAAGCGCTATAAATCCTCTTCTCTAGATTAAAATTGAGTGAAAAATAGTCAAGCTGTTAACATATAAGACCTCAAGTACGAAAATAACGAATTTTTTAATTTAAAAAATAGGATTCAGGAACTATAAGAAATCTATGAGATATGTGTAAAGTAAGTAATTTTTTACAATATGGAAACACACAAAAAAAATCCGTACATCTTGACGGAAAGCTAAAAATCCATACGTTGAATCCGTTCAGCCATTTTCTCCCCTGCAAATCAGTACTGTACGGAAAAATCCGTAAATCTGGTAAGGCTGCAACTAGGATCATTTCATCTTTTCATTTCATCATTTTTAAATGGTGCAATTAATCAGAGCTGTAAAACTGTGAAATCATTTGAAATTAAAACTCATAAATTTTATGTTATTATGTTTTCATTGAATTCTCCCTTATTGAATAATGCGGCTTATAGTTTTCCAATTCTACATTCACTCAAAGTATATACGTTTGCACACATTTCCATATTCAAAGAAAGATTGAAAAAATTGAATGAAGAACGATTCACTTTTAACACTGAATAAGCACTCAGATGAATGCAGCTTTTGCTATGTGTGCATACATCCACTCAGTACCAATCAGTTGATATAAATACTTTGAACACACAAAACCCACTGAAAAATACGCCAGGTTGCATTTTATTAAAAAGACTGCAAAATTTTAACACGAAAAATAGTTAATAGAGCGTTATCATCAGTTTTTTCACTTAAATTTGTACAAGGATTTATAAGAATAAAAAATATTAATTAGAGAAATGTTTTTTTGTGAACGTGTCGTTAGAATGTCATTATGAAAAATATAAATTATTAATGATTTTAACATCTCTGTTTAGAAAATTGTCAGCTTTCCAAATAAGTGTTACCAATATACCATTAATAATGCATAATGCATAAATTAGTACATACATATATAAGTTAATATAAACTAATGCAGCGTTTTTGCTGCATTTAAAATGCAACATTTAGCACTTTCGAACATATGTTTTCGAAGAGCGTTCATGCTACCGCATTTAGCAAATGTACATTTACGCGAGTTCGAAATCGTATGCTTTTGACAAACAGCCGTGTTCCAGTCACTTATTCAGATCCGTATCTATTACGATAAATTCTCACAGAAAAGATAATGTGCAAAAACCCATACTGAAAAGGAAAAAATAAATTTTAAACCGAAAATTCAATACAAAAACTTGAATTGTTTTAACCATAACCGAACATTTGTTTGTGTATATATTCATTTGTCGGTGCTGTCAATTATAATTTCCATACTTAATTAGGAAACAAAATAAACAGAGTTGATCACAAATTAATCCAGATTTCTATCAGCATCATATCGATGTTGAATTTGCGTAACTTTTCTTTATCCAAATAATGTAAAATAATAAATGAAATCTCGATCGGCGATCACTGAAACGCAGCTAGCGACTGTATACTCGAAAAAGCAATGTTGCCACTTTTTCACATTAAACCATGTTCGAATCGTGGAAATTTTGGAAGATCACAGGGTTGCTTTTAGATTCTTAATGCATAAATGGAGTTGCATTTAATTGCATTTAGGTGCGAATTTTGTATGGATAAATGTACATTTAGAGTAGCATTTAGAGCTAAATGCGCTAAATGTGCTTTTACGCGTAAGCAAAAACAGCCCATAACAAATTTAAGAGCTTCTGGTTCTAACTTTAGACATACATATACATTTCATTATTTAATTATAAAAAATTTTGATACAAATTTCTTCGTACTTTTTTCCGTCGCTATTGGGTCAAGCAGTTAATGAAGATTCGAAAATCGAATTTGTTGGTTTGTGGAGGTTTTTTCATTTACAATAAGCCACAAATTATCAACATTTCCAACAAAAAAATATTTAACAAAATTCGTTGGTCCCTATTTTCATTAACATCCTTTTCCGAAAGTGCAATATTTAAGAATTTATACCCATTTCATTGAGCACGCTTTTTAACCCAAGTTTTGGTTTGTTTGTTAACATCAAAACTACATATCGACACCTAAGTGGAAGATCGACCTATCTCGGCAGCCAGTTCGAAAACTCCCTATCTCAAAAAACTGTTCTAGAACACCCTATTTCAGAATTTTGTTGAAGAACGCCCTATCTCGGCAAATTTTCAATATATTTTCATTTGAGATAGGGCGTTCTTCAACCAAATTCTGAAGTAGGACTTTCATAAAAAGTTTTCTGAGTTAGGGCGTTTTTGAATTGGCTGCCGAGATAGGTCGATCTTCCAATCAGGTGTCGGTATATTAATAAAAAATGATTAAATATTGTCTGCTGTAACCTATTTTAGAAATAATTTTTTTATTAGGATTTGCAATTTGAAAAAATCAGTTCCTTCCAATTTTGGGAATCAAACACAACCAAAAATCGTTTTCTACAATCTTTATTAACCTGAAGGGCTAGACAACAAACAACCGCTATGCGAACAAAGTTACAATACCCATGTGCACAAATGCTCTTAAAACATTATTCTAAATGTATGTTTTGAGCAAATTGATTTCAAAAGTTATAAATATGTCCCATTTTTCAAAAATTTATAATAATAAACATGTCAGTTTTTTAGCAATTTGTTTTCTGTGATAAAGGAAATATTAAATTTTTTGAATTTTTCGTAATTACCGTTTTATGGGAGGGACCAGGTTATTGTTTAATTTTTGTATTTTCAATACGCTTCTGCCCTGCATAAAGGGAAACCCGCGTACTGAATTTTCTTCCGATATCTCAACTTTTCCTAGAGTTAAATACTTATGTACAAACACAATTTCAGAGTATTTATTTAACACTCCATCGTCGGAAGTACTGGACATTTCTGGGGCTTCCTGTTCTGACTCCCTCGCTCCGGTAGAGGTCGAGTGTGCTGGATGCTCCAAATCGAAAAAGCAGAAGTTAAACGCAAGTCTCATAACGGAAATTCAAGAGACGAAAGAGCTAATAAAAACAATGCATCAGGAAGAGAACGTTATCGACGGACGGAATGTTTTGTTAGAAGAATTTGTAAGCGATTCTAAAATGTTTCAAAACTCACTCTTACAAATTTTAAATAATAAAAATCATTAAAGACAGTGATTAAAAAAACAAATTAAATTTAGTCCATTACTAATTCATTTATTTTCAGAGCAATAATAGTAATTGTTAAAAGGTAGATTATTTTTTTCATGTGAAATAGTTTACAATAGATAAAATAAAGTAAGGGATCCTGCTTAATACTAATATTATAAATGCGAAAGTTTGTATATTTGTGAGTTTGAATGGATTTGCTTGAAATTTGGCAGGTAGATAGTTTATTACCTGGATCAATATGTACTTAGTTGCAACATATAAGAGTTGCGTCGAAAATCAAGCGGGTAGTGGCTGTCTAACTGTTTTAACAAAAAACATAAATAAATAGATATAAATATGTATAAATAAATAATAAATAAAGATACATAGAAATTTATGCTTACCTAAGAACATTGCTATAGCAGATCTTATATTTTCCGCTGTGAGGTTATTATCAGTCAGGGTACAATTAAACTCCGGCTGCGGTCGGACTACGGTTTCCTCCTGCTCCCGTAATTGTTGCATCCAGCGATTGTTTATGCAATCGTTTTTCTCGTTTAAAAAATTATGTAAAACACAAGCACATTTAATTATTAAATTTACATTGTCAATTCGGTTATCAAGACCTTTTCCAATTCTTCTAAATCTAGCTTTGAGATGACCAAATGCATTCTCGACTACCCTTCTGCACTTAGACAGGGCATAATTAAAGTTTTTTTCACTGAAGCTAGCATTCTCTCTATATGGATAAGGTTTCATTAATATGTCCGAAAACCGAAAAGCTGAATCTCCAAGCATTACAACTGGAACGTTAACTCCGTTTATTTGCGTAGACAAGTGCGTAGGGATAGGGTTTTGATGATGCTGTTTCAAAGCAGATTTCTCGAAAATGTGGGAATCGTTGCACCGTCCAGGGGTGCCTACGTTTATATACATAAATCTGTACCTATAATAAACAATGTGAGCATTTACTTTTTAGGCATATATTCAATACCAACCTATAATCCACTGATGCAAGTAATACTGTGGAGTACCAGCCTTTGTAGTTATAGTAGTCAGTTGCGTCACTAGACCGGGGATGAACTTCAATATGACAACCATCTAAGTATGATTTACGTAAATACAATGCGTCTGTATGAGTATATTTTTAAAATTTACCAACAGCGCTGAATCCCAATTTTCCAAAACTATTCACACATTCTCGAACAGTAGCTTCACTGAGAGGATACTTATTAAGGTTCGTAGGTTGCATTACCCTCCATACTTCCTTGCAAAAGTCCTTCAGAATCATACATACTGCTGACTTGGAAATACCAAACAGATTTCCTATAGTTCTGTATTCTGCGGAAGATCCCAGAGTATACACCGCGACTGCAATCCTTTTATCTAAAGCAATTGGTTGTCCAAAATTTGAAGCTTTTTTTTCATATTTCGCATGGCCATAACCAATTCGTCAAAAGTTTCTTTTTTCATTCGAAAATTTTCTTTGAAGAAATCATCGTCGCTCTCTGGAACTTCTTGTTCCCAAAAACTACTCTGACGAGGCTGAAAATTGGGTAAAGTTATAGTATTTCTTAATACTTGTGTTTTATTAAATTTCTGTTAAGAGGACTTGACTCTTGCAAAACTAGTCAAAAGTTCTCAGCGTAACTAATGTGTTACTAATGTGCATAAGCAATGTTCGCTTAAAATTTGACACCTTTTTAACCAATATTGTGGCAAAAAAAAAAATCACTCACACACACTTTTGTAATTGTCGACTCTCCATATGAACACCCGACACGATCAAGTGTGTTGATAAGGTGATACGATTTACATGCAATTTCAATAAATTAAATACATGTTTGTTCATTTAATCTTTGCAATTGCCACACTTATCCACTGTACGCCTTTTCTTATCTACATATTTCCTTCATCTTAATCGCGCGGCCATATGATAACAGATTTCCACATTTGCAGCTACTTACTCTTGTTATCAGCTGTCGTTTCAAAACTAACAATGAAATTGCGAAATTCCTTACGTTAAATAGCGCTCTTACTATTTCAGGAATTTTTTCATTAATTTCTTTCTCTTTTTCCTTCAATCACTCTAAGGGAATGATCAATTTTCAATTCGTAATTCGTCGGGATTTTCTACTCCTATTAGTAAGTGGAATGGGGGTGTTAAAAAAATTATGCGATTAAATATTCAAAAGAAGATTAGAAGCATATCTCATATTGTATATCACTATTGGTGATTATAACGTTTTTTTTTTTATAATCAAGGCCCACTCTCATGTACGACATATGGGTGTTTCCATCGGAAGGAATTAAAGTCATATCGCTAGCTTAGAGTGAAAAGTTGCTAAGTCCACTTTTTATGAAAACTCATATTTTGATATAGTAGGCTAAAGAAATTGAATACGCATCGTTTCGAAAATTATAAAGGTACTTGTTATATTTTTTCCTCTTCATAAGCAATAAAAAGAAAATTTGCTAAGTCCAAAAGAAGCACCACCAATCCGATAAGGCCAAAATAATACGACGTCTTTTAATAAATATCGAATCCTTCTGATTCTTATGGAGTTTTGCTTTGCTTTAAACGCGCAAAATGTTTGATACAAAGTCTTGCGAAATAGTTAAAGAAAATGGCTATAGGATGATTTTTTCCTCTCCTGTAAAATTTTTAAAATGGGACTTAGCAACTTTTCTTTCTAAGCTAGCGATATAT